TATATTGCTTAACTATTCAGAAGCAAATGTCTGATAAATTCAGATAAAAGGTATTAACCATTCAGACTCTGTATAATACTTAACCATTCAGAGGCAAATCTCTTAATCATTCAGACTTCTGAACCATTAAGAGGCTGAAACAAACAGTCTGAACCATTAAGTGCTGAACCATTCAGACATCTGAACCATTAAGAGGCTGAAACAAACAGCCCCTTAGTCTTTTTTATACAGAGCACACAGTAATTAAGATACCAGAGTCTTTAGTAAATGAATATTATTAATAATTAATTAACTTAATATTAGTTTTAGAAAAAAACTCGTTCAATTTTATTTGAGGAAAAATATTAAGTTTTGGTGCTAATTGAAACAAATTTCACCAAATATTCCTTAAAAGAATGCAGTATATTCTAATGAGTGCTTGAAGTCAAACCTCAAATCTTATATACTAAATTAATCAATATATAATTTAGGGACAATGGACTAATGGACTAATAATTATTATTTAAATGTGCATGCATCCATACAAATGGATAAAAAAATATACACTCACAGTACCCACACGTAGTTACCATACGGAGTCTATAAACTTTGTGACTTTTGTGGTTTTTATGCATTATAAAATTCAACATCAAAGTAAGCAAAAAATAAAAATTGTGACTCTCTTATGAATCTAGCTAGGATGTTGGAAATGGTAACACTCATAGGCCTTAGCATGTGAAACAACTAAGCTCATTGGTGTTTATCAATAATAATTTCACTAAATCCCACCCTAATAATTATCTTTAAGGTAAAAGAGGGATGTATCTCTTAGTTGAAATATAAAAAAAACTCACATTTTTTTATTCCTATCATTGAAATTATTTTATATCTATCTATTTGTCTCAAATTAGATTACAATTCTTGATTCCCGGCCCGCATTTTTTCAAAATTATTTTATTCCAAGAACTCTGTATTCTGGAACCTCTATCATTATAACATCCGCCTCCATTCTTGCTTGTGGATTAGCCTAAACAACTCTGATGAACCACATTAAATTTGTGTGTGTTTACGTTTTTTGTTTACTTTGATTACTCAATTACCCTATTTCATAATAACAACTATGAAAGAAAAAAATTGTCAGAAACAAAAATTGGAATAATATGTAACTCAAGCCTACTAATTAAAATATAAAAAATTAAAATAAATGGAAACAAATAATAAATATGAAACAAAGATATCGTAAACGAACCCAGCAATTCAAGAATCAATGATTGATGGTTGATACGGACTGATTTCAATGTCCCACACCGGTTAAATGGGGGACTTGGTGATGGGTTTATATAGCCAAGGGTTCTCCCACCTTATCAGCTAGCTTTTAGGGTGTGGCTCTCCCTTGTGCTGTATCAATGGTATCAGAGCCAACTCGGAGTGGTGGCCTACGGAGTGGTGGCCCACGGAGTGATGGCCTGGTGAAACCAGCCGTGACCAACGTGGCCGTGACCAACGTAGCCGTGACCAACGAGGACGTTGGGCCTTATGGGGGGTCAAATGATGCGGACTGATTTCATTGTCCCACACCGGTTAAATGGGGACTTGGTGATGGGTTTATATAGCCAAGGGTTCTCCCACCTTATCAGCTAGTTTTTAGGATGTGGCTCTCTCTTGTGCTGTATCAATGGTTTGATAGATAGACTAGAGGAGGAGAAATCCATGATAAAGAATAAGATAATAGATGGAGGGGGGGGGGGAGGGAGGAATCGAACAGCCAGCTGATGAAGCACCCAGAGGAAAGACTTCGTGAATATGCTTGGGAATTCAACCCGAATTCGATCTTAACCTACCCGACCGACCACTAAAATATCCAAATCCAAACTGAAAATAAAATCATACAAATTCGACCCAAAATTTTTAACCCGAACCCAACATCGAGTCGGGTCAGGTGTGGGCGTATAATTTTATCCGACCCGACTCAAACCCAAATATTTTATAACATAAAAGCCTATCTATGGATATAATGAGCACTCCGTGTAATCTCTTGACAAAGTGTTACTATATCAAATATGCCTTTTATAATTATTTTTATAAATTTTTAATAAAAATATGAGACACAAAAAATTAGATATAATCTTTTTAAATTATTAGGGTACGTCGAATTGATTATTGATTAAATTACAAATTCGGGTTTAAATGTCGGATTCGTGTCGGGTCGGGTTTTTGGCTTAAAAAGTTGTGCTTCAAGTCAGATTCGGGTTTTGTTTTAAAAGTTAGTCGGGTTCGGGTATAGTACTATCCAACTCAAACCCGACCCGTTGCCATCCATATTAGTGAATCAAGAAAATACAGATATACTCAAGCGCCAAGGACTATGTAAATGAATGAGCCAATAGGCTTAAAAAGCTATGGAAAATTTACCTATATAACATTAAAACATTATAAGTTTTACAATGTAGTGCCATATGTTTAAAATTTTTAATGTAGTACCAACATTCAATGTTCACTAGACAGTATATTATTCAAATCAATATCCACCAGCACTGGATATTGTTCGAAGTAAATACACAACGCTGTTGGACATTGTTTAAGTACTATTTGGAGAAAAAAAATTTAGGTACTATATTGGGAAAAGACATGTTTAATGCTATTTAATACAAGTGTTTCAAAAACTAGTATGCTTGTATAAAATCAATTTATTTTTGAATTTAAAATACGAAGCATTTAAAAAATAATACCTAAATTTGGTCGCCATGTTTAAACAAACATCTTGCAGAAGCAGTTAGGCGGGTCTTGAGGTGATCAAAGTCTTAATGTTAAGATGAAGTTTCCATCTAGAGAAACCGAGACTATCAATCCCCTAGAAGAATGACTCGCATATGTTTTCCATGCCTCAATGAAGATATATGTGCTCCAAAAGGGGTGATCTAGGCTTTGAGATCAGCCATTTGACACTCTATGCTAGCTAGTGTCATCAATTTGTGTTTGGGTTTTATCAAGAGTACTCATATAGTCTCCAAGTATAGTTTGCTTTTATTTGTGCTTCATCTTGAGGTAATTATGTGTGTTCAAGCATTGAAAAATGTGTTTGGTGTGTTGTGACACTAGCTTCTTTACTCAAGTGAAATAATCTATTTATGAATATGTTTCAGTGACAATTTGTGTCTGTTGTAGGACTTTTTGTACCTTAAGATAAATTTGGTACAATTTGTGTCTGTGTTAAGACCTCTTATACTGTGAGGTACGTATGGCCACTTCTTGGAGAAAATCTTGTATTTTTTCACATTTGATTCTAGTGCATCTGCTGTCTTTTAAGAGGATTCAAGTCTTGGTGGACTTTTGGTAGAAAAATACCATGAATTTGTTTTTTGAGCCTAATGGGAATATGATTAGGTTTATCCCTCTTATTCCCACAAATATACTAGGTATAAATCTATATTTGTTAAAAAATAACAAATTTTGCTATTAGGAATTTACTAGATACAAACCTCTATTTGTTTGAGATGTTTTTGTCCTTTAAGAGCTGCTTCTCTTTTCACGGAAGACATCGAAGATGCTATAGCGCACTGTGACGGGATTAGCAAGGCATGTGCAGAAATTGAAGCCGCAATCTGTAATAAAATTGCCTAATCCTACTAGGATTAGGGTTTGAAGAGGCCTTTATAGACATGACAGATCATTGGGATTTTTTGGAGCGATTATGAGGGAAAAAATGCAAAATACATGCTGATCGAAGAACATTCTTGGCGCATCCTGAAAAGCCATCCTTACATGAAGAACTTATGTTCCTTTAAAAAATGTCTTCAACGTCAAAGAGATCGTAACATATTGAAGTTGAACGTGAGCTGAATTGTGGGCTGCCCCACCATACTTGTCCTTATGATCTAGGTGGATATGTGATTGCCAAAATAGATCTATATAGGGTATGAGCTATAAATCTTAGATTAGAGATTTTGTCATAAAAATTCAGAAAAGTGTGTCTCATCGTGCTGTTATGTACCGTTGTAATTTGCATCTCGTGATTTAGTGGAAGACTATTACACGGATGTGGGCCACGCATAAGTAGGATATTATCTCCTAATTGTGTAAGCATATATGGTGTCGTTCTTTACGCTTTTTGTATTTTCATTATTCTGCCCAATATATATTGTAACACACTCTTCGTCATCCTCTCATCTGTGTGTGAATTGAGGCACACTCGTCGTGACCTACCACATTACATTATTGCTACTAAAGACAATCGCTTATGATGTTCTCACACTTTTATTTCGGATTTTAAAACACATCTTATTCCCTCCTAATTTTAAAATTCATATGATCAAACGGATTTGTAGAGTAATGATCCAATAAGGTGGATTTGGGGATGTAGCTCGAGACACATTTATATGATGTTGATCCTTTGTAGGATAAAGTAGCTACTAGCTAGTCATCTTCAATACGAGTCTCGAGGTCATCTACACAAATAAAAAAAGTCATATGTTAATCAAAAGGCGACCTCATGAATCTTTGGAGTGTACAAAGCTAGTAGAAAAAAGCTGGCATTATGGCTCCTTAAGTCAACAACATGTCAAACTAAAAATCCTCACTCCTCCCAATCCTACTACCATCATTAATTTATCCATGAAATTAAGTGGCACTGATCCCAGTAATTATAATAATAATTAAAATTATACTCCGTAATAATCAAATACCCATCTTGGAATCTGAAATAATGACACCACATGAAAAAAACCACATTATTAAAAAAAATTTATAACAATTTCAAGCTGCATGCCATTCAAACTGTAGCATTGGCCCTATGTAGTCACAGGCTCACAGTGGTCCAACAAAAACAAAAAACAAAACACAAAGATTTAAAAAAAAAAAAAAGTATCATGGGAAAAAAGAAAAGGAAAAAAGTTTAATTTCTACATGCGGTAAGTAATACGATGGAGCTTGGGAAAGCCTGCCTGCCTTGTGATTGCAATGTCGCTTTTTGTCCAGTCTTTTCTAACATCCAGTGGGCCCCCACCACCCCCCACCCCCACCCCACACCCACCTGCTGCTTCCCTCTGACATTTCATCACAAGATCTTGAAAGCTATGTTCAATTGACTCCCCAGTCCTCCCCTTCAAAGTTCATTCAAATTCCCTCCCCATTGTGTTTCCACCAAACTCTTCTTCAATGAAATAGGACCCAATTGTATGGCAACACGACCGATCGCGGTGTTCTCGATCGGTCTCCCCGTGTTGTTTGGACCGACACTTTGATGGTTTAGATCTCTGAGAAGTAAAATAGGAATTGTGTGTGTTGTTAGGTGTGGGGAGAGTAATCACTTAAGGGCATTGTGGGAGGGGAGGAAAACTTGGGTAGGTCATGGGTTTGGAAAAAGGGTCTACTCTCATGGCCACCAACACCAAGAAAATCCCTAGTCAAACTCCCTTCAACAGCTACTTCACTATTACTCCCACTAGGCATTGTGTGGTTGTTGTTGAGGTGTTTGCCCTTGTTACCACCTTGCAAAGGGTCATGTGGGGAGGAAGAGTTCTCCACATTGGCCACCATGGGAATTGGTGAGGAGCTTATGTCCCCCAATAGCAAACCGTGGTGATCGTTCCCGCGGTTTTCGTCGCTGGGAACCGTCATTGACGCCGCATTCATGTGGTGACTCTGGTGGTGGTGGTGAGGATGATGATGATGATGATGGACTTCATTTCTTGAATTGAAGTTGTCTAGCGCGGAAATGGTGGACCCCACGAACCCGAACTCGTTGCTACCGAACAACGAGTTGTTGTTGTTGTTGTTGTTGCGGGTCGATCCCATTTGGGCGGCTTTTTGGAGGAGTGCGGTGGCCGACATGTGAGCTGGGGGCGGGGGTGGCCCCGCCGCCGCTTCCTGGAGGTGGTTGTAGAACATTGAACTGATCTTGCCCTCGTCTTCCTCTTTCAAGACCGGAGGCAGGGAAGAGGAAGACGTGCTGCCGCTCCCGCCGTGGAACCAGTGGCTCGGCGCCGCCATGTGAAGGAGCTCGTGGGCGAACCCACCACCACCACCTCCGCCGCCGCTAGAAGATCCCAAGAACTCCGTCGCCACATTCCCAAGATGGTGATGGCCATGGTGATGTTGATGATGATGGTGATGGGAATTCGCGGTGGGGTCCAACCAAAGGGGCAGCCTCGGCTTCTGCCCGTCGAGGCCAAGCTGGTGATGCTGGCTGCCGGCGGCGTCCACTCCCACCATGAGGTCGTTTTGATGCCGGAAAACATGAGATCCGAACTGGTGCGGCGGCGGCGCCGCCGCATTCCCGAGCAAGTCGTTCCGGAAGTTGAGATTCGGAACCGAAGTGAATCTCGCACTCTCTTCCGCCAACGCATCGCAAAATGCTCTGTGCGTTATAAAGCTGTCTTTTCTGCTCCACCCAGAAAAGAGAAAAAAAAGCAATGAAACAAAAAGATCAGATTTTTACAATTTGTTTCGTTGCAGCATTAATGATTTCCAAAGCAATTCAATCGAATTCAATTCCAGCAATAAATAGGCCAAAAAGGGGGGGAATCATTAGCAATAAAGATTGAATTAATTAAAAGAACAAATGAATATATGTACCTGGAGAAGAGAGTTCCACAGTCACATTTATACTCTCTAGTCCCACAAATCTTACTGTGGGCTTTCCAATCGGACTGGACGGCATACTTCTTGGAGCACTTCTCGCACTTCCATTTCTTCTCGCCGTGCTTGCGGCTGAAGTGTTTCTTGATTCCGGTGAGGTCGCCGAGGGCGCGGGACGGGTCGTGGTGGACGCAGCTCTTCTCCGGGCAGATGTACACCTTCTTCTTCACCACCTCTTTGCTGTTCCTCTGCTTCAGCTTCCACGGGAGGTTGTGCCCCCTCCTGTGGAGCTGGAGGTTCTGGTCCCTCTGGAACCCCTTGTTGCAGATTTCGCAGACGAACCGGTTCGTCGCCATCAGCGACTTGGGGGACAGGGCTATCACCTCCGCGTCCGGATCTGGGTTCCCGGGCAGGTTCCGCTTCCGCTTGTTCGGGTTCGGGTTCGCCGGATCTTGCGGGGCGGCGGCGCTGCTGGTGGTGCTGCTGCTGTGGAGGAAGGCTCTCATGGAGGAGAGAGCATCATTGGAGGATGACATCATGGTGGGGGGGAAAACAAGAAGATGATGATGAAGGAAGAAAACAAGGGAAGAAATTGGAGGGTTTTTGAGTGCTTGGCTGAAAACAGCAAAAGCAGGGAGATGAAATCAGAGTGTTATTTTGTGTGGGTGGGAGTGGAAGCTAGAGAGGAGATGAAGCCAAAGTAAGAACAAAAAAGAAGAACAAGAAGATGATAAAAGGAAATGGTGTTACATGGGTATGACACCATGTATAATCATTATCATCATTTTCACCTTATTAGCTTCTTGGAATTCTTTCTTCTTTGGTTTTGTGTGTGTGTGTTTTCTTGAATAATGGAAGGAAAAAAGCCTTATTATTAGCTTGGGAATGAGCAAAAACAAAGACTGCACAAGAAAACTACAACAATGGCAGCAGCTACCTAGAAAGAAAGAGAAATAATATACTCCCACTGTAATTTCTCTCTCTCTATCACTCTCTCTCTATGACTATATTCCTTATCTTATACGGCTTTTCTCTCTCAAGTCGGTCTGCCATAGACTCAAGTGGACCACCCTCCCCCCCTCTCTCTCTTCTACAGACTACACAAAAAATGGATTCATTTTTGGGGCGTAGCTTAATTGGTCAAGACTCTCAAGAGAAGTAACATCCGAGTTCGATTTTAGATGTAAACAACGAAAGACAACCATACGCAGGCTCTCTCTTTTTTTTTTGGTTGAAAAAAATCAACTTCTAATTTTTCTAACTTTTTCTACTTTATTTCAGCTCTTTCAAGTTTTTCAAGTTTCTCCAATATGAACTTGAAAAAATGTATTTACATATGATGATTACATAATAACATTATGTATACAAAATTCTAACATAGCATCTCAAACATGGACCAAGATAAATTCTTTCTTATATCTAAAATTAGTTTTCTTACATATTTATTTAGGTGATATATCCTATCATTTAATTGAATAATTTTTCTAACACTTAGTTTTTTCCAACATTGTCCAACTCCTTCAAATTTTTTCCATCTTCTTTCAATTTCTTCCAACGCATTTCAATTTTTTCAATTTCTTCCAATTTTTTCAAACATCCAAATTTAGAGTTCAAACTTAAAAGGACAGAGTCGCAGTATGTGATCCTTGCACACTTGCAAGGTACAAATATTGTTTCTTTCATGATGAGTCTCATTAAGAGGATTTACAATGGGGAGCAGATCCGCTCCGCCCTAACTTCTGCCACATCAGCATTTCACTCACTTTCTGCTCCGCCCCTAAATCATACAATGCTATCGCCACGAAAACCCGCCTCTCCGTTTCTTTTACAATATTCGTCATTTTTAATTCAAAACTTATATAAATTTTATACAAATATTTATTTGTTACTAAAAATAGATAAATAATACGGAGTATATAAAATAAAATAAATAAATTCAAAATTAACAAAAATAAATAAGAAGATTAGCATTAATTAAATAATAAATAGTGAAATTAAAAAAATAAAATTGAAATAATAAAAGTCAAAATTGAATACATTAAGAAAAAAGGGTTTAAAATTAAAATAATTAAATTAAAAAAAACTGATCATCAGTGGCAAAGAAGGAAGAAGTGGAGCAAAGCACAAAGGGGAGGGGGTGGCCGCCGCGACTTTGGGCCGGAAATACATCCCGACTCTGCATCGGAACTGGGGCGCGCACCGCGGTAAAAAAATGTGGCTCTCGTCCTGCGATGGGAGTGTGAGGCGGTGGACTTTCGAGAAGCGAACGACGGGGCGAGATTCAATCCCCATTGTAAATGCCCCAAAGCTTTTTTAGCGAGTCTGATTAATACCGCCAAAATATCAAACCAAAAAATACCGCAATTACCAAATCGAATATTCCGTTCGATATTTGGGAACAATATGAGTTTACTTCCCATACCAAAAATTCCAAACCAAATATATATAGTAATATATTATAAATATAATTATCTTTTTATATTTTTCATTAAATAATAAGTTTATTTTTAAAATTTGGTTCATATTTTATTATGTGTAAATTGTACTTTTATTTGATCGAGTTTCAAGTTTTTATAGATAAATTTAAAAGCATTAACACACATTTGAAATATTATTTTGTTATCATCCGTTCACTTTAGTTTATGAAATATAAACTAAGTTTCATAAATATTTCTTGCATTTAATTTTTTATTTTTTATTTTTTATGTTTCTTTACTTAAATATACTTTCGAGCTTTCAAAAATAAATAATTTTGTGACATTTTAAATTTTAAATTAGGTGTGTATGCATTCGCCCCGATATGTACCGAAACATATCTCGAACCATCCCGAACCATACCGAACTGAAATTTCTAGATTGGAATCAGTACGACGTAAAATTTTATAGTAACTGAAATATTTGGTACGATATCAGTACGAGCTAAATAACGTATCATGCTCTACTTGAAACTAAAATTTAATTTACCTCTTTTGCAACTTATGTCCAACGGATCATGGAAACCCTAGCATACATTTCATCCTTTAAAAAAAGATACTTTTATATGATGTTTATTGTGATTCAACTCTAATATCTTATCTTAATCACGTTTTATGATTTCTATTAATCTTAAATTCTATCATGCTCTATCTTCGAGTATTCTGAGAAGTTGCTCAATTTTTTTATATTTAAGGGTCCATTTTAGAACCAATTTCTTGTGTTTGGTAAATGGTAACTTAGGAAATGGAAGTCAACGAAAATCAAGAAGTCGAACAATGGAAATTGAATGTTAAAATTCGGAAATTGTCTTTTTCCCCATTTGAAATTTATAAGACATCTTCCTTTCCCCAATCTTAGTAAGATTTTCTTTCCAGACATTATTCACGGGATCAAATTTAACTAAGTTTTTTACTTAACTTTATTATTCATTTTATAAAATAGTATAGTCTTGTCATAACTTGTTTTGTATAATTTTTCATGTAATTTTTTATTATATAATTTTTTTATATTTTATACTTATAATCAAATAATAAAATTAAATTAGAATATAAAGTCGATTAAGCTTCGTAATGCGTAATGAGAAGACCAGTGAGAGACGGAGGAAGAGTATATTTTCTATTATAAGTATGTTGTTAGCTTCTTGTGTATGTAAGCATATGGCTGTTGCAATAAATTACTCTCGTACGTATAATAATTTAATTGAAATGGTTCTTGGATGCCGAAATGGTTGTGGCCCAGTCGGTGTCCTTTTAGATCGGTTTTGCCTTCCGCGAGTCACTCAATTGAGTGGCTCTTATTTTGGTGAATTCTTTATGTTTTACTTTAAAGTTTAGAAAAAATTGTTGTAATGGCAAAAAATGTGGAATTTTTCAAAGGAAAGAGTAATGTTAAGTTGCAATCAGGTAACTTAAGACGGAATATCTAGAGTTGGCAAATCGGTCGGTCAGGTCGGCTTCGGGTTTGGTCACTTCAAGTTTGGGTTATTTCGGGTTCAGGTCTATTCAGTTCAGGTTGAGAACTGTATGTTCATGACCCAGTGTTATCGGGTTCGGGTTGACCCAACGGGTTATGACTTTGGTTTTTTAAATTTTTAAATTCACATTAACACTTACATTTTGTATTAAATAAATTTAAAATATCAAAAAATGTGCATTAAATCTTACTTTAGCGGGTCGATCAGGTCGGATTCGGGTTCGATCGGGTTTGACCCCTTTTTTGGCGGGTCATTTCGCGTTCGGTAAACTTCGGGTTCGGTCATCAAAACCTTTGTTCAAAACCCTGTGTTTTCAGGTCGGGTTTCAGGTCAAAAAATAAGTCGGGTCAGTTTTAGCCAAATCTAGGAATATCTTTCCTTCATAAAAAAGAAAATGGAAAGTGTATTTTGGAATAGAAGTCAGAAGAAAGGAAATTTCTTTCATTGACAAGGAAAATTTACACACATTTATAACTTATTGTGTCGACCATGGACAATCCAAAGGGTGTGCATGCAAGGTGCCCACACGCGCAGAAAAATCCCGTGAATTTTGCACATGGTCAATTTATATTCTTACATTTTCGGGCCGGCCCTGGTGCCAACTGTGGACACTATAGGGGTAGCCGGGTAGGGCTGTTCTTAAACGAATTCCATCCTCCCCAAACCTTAACTTGTTTGTATTTTTCTTATTTGCATTTTAGTGTTTGGATTAAATGTCTCAATGTTACCTCAGTCTGCACAATTTAACCACCTCTCACAAGGTCACACACCTTATCTCTTTTGGGATAGCCTACCCTAACTCCCAAGTCCTAACCTACCCATCATTTCCCAACCTATATCTCACACTTTCTCACTCTAAATATTTCGAATAATAATTCTAATTTTATTTTTTGATAAATAAAAGGAGTATATTTTATTATTGAATTCATAATTTTGCCTTTGGATGTATTGATGGATGAAAAAATAGTGAATAAATGTGATGCGATAGATTAAATAAAAATTGATAGGAGATAATAAATAGACTTTTTAATGAAAAGTTGAAATATTTTATGAGACGAATAAAAATGAAAGTGTAATTCCTTTATTCCTTTGTGAAATGGAAAGGGTATTTTCTTAATTATCACCATAGTCTATTTTTCATACTCCGTATTTTACTACGTATTTTACTTAGTCCATAGTAATTTTTTTTACTAGGATATAGAGTTTGTTTTTGCAATTTAAATTTACCATTTTTGAATATCCTATCAATCTTTTAATTTTATTTTAACATAAACTAGACCGTGCCTTAATATGAAAGAAATTTCTCATTTCATAAAAAAGTGCATTTTTGGTGTACAATATTAATGTGATCATTCACACATTATTTATTGAATATATATGAAAATTAAAAATTAAGCATTTTCCAAATTAAGGTAAAATCATGTTTTTTCGATACATAAGTAGACAAAAAAAATTGTCTTTTTGAACATTCCAAATTAAATAAACCTCTCATTTCAAAAATAGGTAAATTTTCCTTTACCAACTTTAACTCTTATGTCTCTTATGAATACAGAGTATAATATTAGTGATTCCCTACTGTAGGCTGTTAGGTAGAAATGGTTGAATTTGCTAAAATTATTGTTACTCATATACTCCATATTACTAATGAAATTGCGTATCATTGAAATTATACTCCTTCCGTACATAAATAATTTAGACATTGCACATTACGTCAATTTAATTTAAATTAAGGTAAAAATTTAAAATAAAGTGTTTCATGTATTTAAGCATTGTACTCCTATATCATTAACAAAAGAGAAATTTATTTAAATAGGACTAAAACATAATGACTTTCCCAATATAAGACCATTTGTTTTTATTTCCCAATGTAGGACTTTTGGTCATTAACAAGTAGTCATTATTCAACTAAATGTCTAGCATTATTGGACATTATTCCTCCCACGAGGTCATTATTTAGTCTTATTTAAGGAATAAAAAAGTTTAAGTCCTACATTAGGAAAGTCATTATGTTTTAGTCCTATTTAGTGCAAATTTCACTTAACAAAAAGTACTCCATTCCATTCGTCTTAAGATTAACTTTTAATTTGACTTTTCACGGTCTCCAATGCAACACTTTGACCATGAATATCTCTATTCATATTTAATTATATATCATAAAAATAGAATGTTTCAAAACAATGTTCCAAAATAAATCTATATTGATATCAAATTTAAATAAAACTGAATATATTTTTACCATAATATACGGTCAAAGTTTAAAAAGTTAGAACAAGAAAGTCAACTAAGAAGTTAATTTTAGGACGGAGGCAGCATTATATAAAAAATTTATATAAAAAAGATGACAACACTATTTTATTTTATAAAATAAATAATGAAATTAAAGAAATGGATTAATTAAACCTTGAAAATGAAATAGTGAGTGTGGAAACTTAAAAAGGTTTTGCTAAATCCACCCATATTATGATTAAATCCACTCCATTTATGGTGAAATGGACAAATTTGTTCTTAATAAACATGGAATATTATTACGGAGTAGATGTTAGCCACTTTTTAAGGATAAAGTTGTTCATTTAATACAAATGGAGTGATTTTAGCTATAATAGAGATGGCCGGATGGATTCAACAACATTCTTTTTGAAAAGCATATGATGAAAAAGAGAATATTCAAAAATTAAAACGGTGGGAGATTAGTGGCACAAACTAAAGCTTGCAACCAGCTGGTACTCGTAAAGGCCATATATTTAGTTATATAATTACTTTTCAGTGCAGTCATCAAGAATTGAAATCTTACTATATACAGATATTTTAAAAAAGTGAGAGCGGTGAAGGAAAAAACTTGCCGTATAATAAATACAAGTATTATACTGCCCTCGTATTTGTAACGTACCAGCAAGAAGATGCGTTTTCCATCGGTTCTTATTATGGGGCGTATAGGCGTACGTACGTGTGTCTACCACCACAAACTACACGTGTTCTTATACACTTGTCAATACCATCACACAACTTCACAAGTGATTTCACACTTTTCTCTTTTTTTTCTTTTTAAAAAAAACTTTTGTTGTTAATAATGTTTTTTTCTTACTTTCAAAAAAATAAATAAAATATTTGCACTAAATAGAACTAAAACTTAAGTCATTTTTCTAAATAGCACTTATATTGTTTTATTCTCTAAATAAGCACTTAATAAGGTCCAGTGATGACGAACATTTGCTTGAATAATGACTAATGGATAATGACTAGAAATGCTACATTGGAAAAACTACATGTGATGCTGTTTAAGGAAAGACATTATGTTTTATTTCTATTTAAGTAAATTTAAATAAATTTGAGATCACTCTCATAAGATGAAATTGTCAAATTCAGTCGAACATTGTGCCGATGAATGAGAACGACATTGGAATGGTTGTTGAAAGAAAAATAATATAATTTGATAATAATTGATCTTATTGAATAATGAAGGATGCATCCGTATATATAAGGATTATAAGATAAGATTTTAATCTAAGTAGGAGAAGAATTATAGTAACAATATAATAAAGAAGTAATGTAATAAGGCAGGTAATGTATAATGATATTTTATTTCATAATACATCTATTATTCTTAATATTCCCACGCAAGCTGATCATTAGTAAGGAGTAGGAGCTTCGATCACATGTATTGGAATTGAGCCGGCGGAAGCAATTTTGTAAGGATAACCTCTAAAACTATAGAACTAGATTTTCATGGCATGACGAACGAGCTGAGCTTGAGATTACGAACGATCCAGAAGGTGGTCTTGTCCCACAATAAGATCTTGTTCTTTTTAGGCTAAATTCCACTGTTGCTCCTTCAAGTTATTGTGTCATGCACGTTTAGCTCTTCAACTTTAATTTGAAAATTCCATAAAAAGCCCTTCAAGTCATGTTAACGATTTATGATTGATCCTTCAACTTTAAAAATATCATGAATAGACCTTCAAGTCACGTTAGCGTTGCATGATTGCTCCTTTCATTAATTTTATCGTGAGTCCATGCATCTTTTTTATATTTTTTCAATTTTAAATACACGTGAGGAACTTTTTCTTCTACATATAATTGAACCATATTTAATATAGGTCTATTTTTAATAATATTTGTTATTCATACTTTAATTATTCCAATTTTTTTACATAAAATAAGTTACTTTTACTTTTATTAGTTTAGTTTTATTAAAATAATGTCACTCCACCTTAAATTTTTTATCAAATTTTGACTTTCCTTAATCAAGTAGCGGGTTTAATTTTTTTATAAATATTTCAATTAAAATAAATCTACAAAAAGTATGACTCAAATGTATGAAAAAAGAAGGTTCCTCGCGTGTATTTATAATAAAAAATGAAAAACAATGCATGGAGTAACAACAAAATTAATGGAAAGACCAACCACACAACACTAACGTTACTTGAAGGACTATCTATGAAATTTTTAAAGTTGAAGGACTAATCATGCAATGCTAACATGACTTGAAGAACTATTCGTGGAATTTTCAAAGTTGAAAGACTAACCGTGCATAATGCAATAACTTGAAGGACCAACAATGAAATTTATCCTTTTTTTAATTTATCTTTTTACTAATTACTTATTATTATTGAAATAAGATCAGATGATATATATATATATATATATATATATATATATCACTTCAATAATAACTTTAAATATAATAACAAGCGAACAAGACTAGATCAAAGTTAATAAAATTGGATGATAGGCGTGTCGTAGCTTCTACAAATTAATTAATTATTTTCCTTAACTCTTAACCCCCTTTATGAATTAATATTCATTAAAACATATAGATAGGGTAAGTTAGGGTCGATCCCACGAGGAAAGATACTTTTTAAGTTATGAAAATCAGTTTACTTTGTCACTTTTATTGACTAAAAACTAACTAAACTAAAAACTAAAGGGTATGGGGGGTTTGAATGATGATTCTAAAAAGATAAAAATGTAAATAAAGATAAAGATAACAGATAAGAGATGGAACCACAGCAGCAACTCGAACTCAGAAGAACACTCAGGGAGAAACAAACACACAAAAATAATCACACGATAAACTTTATAAAAACGTAGACAATAATAATTGACTTAAACCATTTTGAAAATACTTATAGTTTTTAATAGTAAATAAACTGAACAAATCTGATTAATTAATTAATTATGCCTTGATTCTGAAATTAAACTGCTAATTAAACTCAGGGTTAGGCTGAAGAAGAGGTCCACCAACGGTTCTTCCCTATTTTCCCGTTCATATTAGCTTATGTTAAGACCAACCCTAACTCTAAACCCTACTACCCTTAGCAACCCAAAGACCAACCCTTAAGTTACTACTAAGAATAGCGCATTAAGATTTGTGGAAAACATCACCATAACAATCTTGTAGTAACACTACGGTTATTTAACAAAATCAGTTCGAGAACCTTGATTAGCAAAAACCATTTAACGAGGCAGCAAGTACTAATCAAGTGACACTTGGTTTCTAGAAAAGTTCGGCTATTTAAAGCACTTTGGACTTTAAAAGAATATCATTTTAAACTGGATTAGGCGCGCGTTCCTAATTTGGTCCAATTTAAGTAAAATCCGGTGAATAATAGTTCTCAGAACACCTTTTGAGTTTAGATTTAACAGTAGCGTAGAGCTAAAATCTCTTCAAAGTCAAATTAATTCAAAAAACAAAGATTCAATCTTTTTGTCAAACATTTTGGCCTAAGAAGGTTTTATAGTTACAGAGACAATGATGAATTAATAAATCATAACTTGAACCATTCGACATCAACACTTAAACAATTCAACACTTATAATATAACTTAAACATTCAACATAGAATTCGAATTGAAAATATTATATTTAAATAATGGATATCAAATTCATCAATTGGAAATTAAACAAATTCAAAATCCTAATTAAAAGTTTGAAATAAAATTAGAAGTCAAGGAAACTCCCCTGTGTATTGCTCCTTTGTTCGTTCACTGCCACCAAAGACTACCAATTCAATTGCACTATCCATGGCCTCCATCGCCGGACCCATGTCGCCGTCGCCACCATCGCCGGAGTTGAGTCGCCGAGTGCCGCGCCGGACCTAGGGTCGAAACCCTAGGTCGGCTCTCTCTGTTCCGTTTCCGTCCCTCCTTCCTCGTTCTCCGTATATATCCCTTCTTTTTATAATTGAGATTTGAAGAGTTCCAATTGGATTTGGAAAAGGATTCTCTAGTTTCTTGCGCCTTCCGTTGTTGGAGTCTGAGACGGAGTCTCCNAATATAACTTAAACATTCAACATAGAATTCGAATTGAAAATATTATATTTAAATAATGGATATCAAATTCATCAATTGGAAATTAAACAAATTCAAAATCCTAATTAAAAGTTTGAAATAAAATTAGAAGTCAAAGAAACTCCCCTGTGTATTGCTCCTTTGTTCGTTCACTGCCAAAGAAGAGACCAAAGACTACCAATTCAATTGCACTATCCATGGCCTCCATCGCCGGACCCATGTCGCCGTCGCCACCATCGCCGGAGTTGAGTCGCCGAGTGCCGCGCCGGACCTAGGGTCGAAACCCTAGGTCGGCTCTCTCTGTTCCGTTTCCGTCCCTCCTTCCTCGTTCTCCGTATATATCCCTTCTTTTTATAATTGAGATTTGAAGAGTTCCAATTGGATTTGGAAAAGGATTCTCTAGTTTCTTGCGCCTTCCGTTGTTGGAGTCTGAGACGGAGTCTCCATTTCCTTTCCTGCGATGCTTTCTACGGAATGGAGGAGTTTTTACTTTATTTCTTTTTTGCTTTCCTTTTGATTTTCTCCGCATTGGTTTATGATGGGCCAAATAGATGTCTTGCCTGGGCCTATTCTTCACTTTCTTCCGCGTCCTTTTTTACTCCAAAATATATCTAAAAAATATTAATTAAGGAAAATAACTCTAAATTAATTAATAAATATAAATACACTCAAAATCATGCATTTTATGTATAAAAAGTAAACAATAGCCTAAAATGCTAAATGTAACCAAATATATTTATTTAAGTATAAAATGCATATAAAACATATTAAAATAAAACATATTTTATTAGAATAAAATATGACATTTTGTGACTCAACATTGGATAATAACCAATAAAATAACTTCAAAGAACAAGCCCTAAGTTTGGGATCCCGAGACTTAAGCCGAGACACCAAGACCATGAGGCTTGGGCACCGGGAGTCCGGGACTCCTTCCCGCATCTCGCATCCCGCGAGTCGCAAGCCGTGTGCATGTGCGTAAGCTTTCTATTTGGTAAGTGCCTATGTGGGACAAGATTCCACATAAACTCCAATCAAATTTTTCACTTAACTAATCAACTTTAAGAATTAATTTCTCATTCACCATTAGTGTATAATATATCAAAATGTTTATTTCACTTAGAAGAACACACACCCATTAATAACAGTAAAAGATCGTTAGTGGACCACATTGATATAATTAAATCCAATTTTGGTCGTTTAATGCATAGCTATAAAATATTAACAAATTTCAACACATTTGAAAATGAAAATGGAATTGTGGCCGGGTTTGATGAATGTGGCGCAAATAATGGAAAAAAAATCTCGAAGTCGTTAGGGTTTAGACATACTTTCTCTGTCTCCAAAAGATGTGTATATGTTGCATTTTTTGTGCATTCCATAAAACATTTTTATTCCTCTTCAAGTATCTAAAATTTTCCAAAATAATTTTTATCTAAAATAAAAGAGAAATATGGTAAATTTTAGAGACCCACAAAAAATAAGCACAAGAACATTTTTTTTGGATGGGTGGGAGCATATATATATATCTAACAATCTAAAATGTTTATGTTTTAATTTTTGCACATTTCGTGAACACTTTTATTCCTCTTCAAGTATCTAAAATTTTCCGAAACAAATTCCATATGAAATAAAGAACAAATGTGATAAATTTTTGAGATGCACAAAAAAAACACAAGAACATTTTTTTTGGATGGGAGGGAGTATACATCTAACAATCTTTGAAGCCATAGACCGAACGTTGCAGCCAACAGCTTATTCATTAGTGTGCAACTAAACAAACATAAAAAAGTTCCAATGATCTCTTTTTGTTCGAAAAGTGGTGTACTTTTGAATCAGGACGCATTGCATATGTGGTGGTATAGCAGTAATTGTCTGCTCTTTGTTCGTGTGAAGATTCATCCACCCCCCTTTTACTATACTCTCCTTTAAGAAAAGAAATATCAAAGTAGGACAAACATTTTGAAAATATATCAAAATAGGACTTTTATATTTTTATTCTCGAAATAGGATTTACATTACAAAACATGGCCATGTACATTACCAACAAAATATAGTAATATGCACATGTACAGTGCCACATTACCACAGTTGTTAAGGAATGTAGTAGGGTTTGTTGTTAACAGGCTTATTATTGTTGGGCTCGTAATTAGGTCATAATCTTGTAGCTATTATAAATAGTGGATTTATGTGTAATCAAATCATTCAAGTTCAGATCTAATAATATTTCTACATGGTATCAGAGTCACATGTCGCAATTCTAGAAGCCCAACTCTTTAATTTTATTTATAAAGATGTATTTGTGTGTCTATGTGTGTGGATGAACAAAAGAAGTATGCGATTTTACTTAAAATTAAATTAACATATATGCCATACTCCCTTCGCCCCTATATGTTTACCACATTTCAAAAAATGAGGTAAAATATCAAGTTTTTTTACTTCATTTTAATTTATTTAAATATTGGTATAGAAATAAAAAATAAAATTTACATATCTAAAAACTAATGAAAAGATCTTCGAAATAAGATATGTCAAAAATATTTTATCAAATAATCAATGAAAACGTATAAATAAGCAAAAATTCTCGTGACTGTTGAAAAAACAAACGTGGCAAGAAAAATATTACTCAATATTTTTTATCTGTGACACATAGACAACTGTACTCCGTATTATTTTTATGGAGCAAGCTAGGAGTACACCAAAATGAAATGCCTCATTTGTACACCATACAAAACAGATAAACACTGACACTTAATGTTTATGACCTACAGATACTAAGTGTCTGTGTTTGTATGGTGTACAAATAAATTATTCTATTTTTATATGGATATGAAATACTCGTATTTAATGTGAAAAATACGCTTAGAGCACTGGTAATGGTCATGAAGCCCCGGGGCTTCAAACTTTCTCTCTCTGCCACGTCAGCTTTAACTTACACCCATAATTCACTGGAAATGGTTTTGAAGTCTCGGGGCTTCAAACCTTCATTTTTTACATTTTTAAATATACATCTTCTAAATTTAAATTTATAAATTTAAATTAATTTATTATTTTAATGCGTGCAATCAATACTCCCAAGTATGCCGACAAAGCCGTGTTTTGCGGCATGCCTCGCCTGCAACTGCTGGATGTCGCTCGTTGTAGGCTTGCGTAAATATCTTTTATGATAAATTTGAATAATAGCCTTTGAAAATTTATAAACACAGGACCTGATGCTCCGAGCAGACATCTTTAAGTATTCGTCGAACATATCGGACGCCGTCCCGTACGCCAACTGACGGAGCGCGGC